TCATATTCATGCCTGGTCACAGCTTCGGATAAATTTAACAGTTACAGTAAAACCCTGCATAGAAATAACTTCAAAACAAGCAATTAAGAACTACTTTAAACTTGAGGCTAGTCACGAGGCTGTCCTTTTACAAGTGGTGGCTGCAAATTGGTAATAGCAGCTGCAATTAACCAGACCTCATCAATTATATCTAACAAGGTTAGAGGTAAAGTATGATCCAGTAGTCTAAATTCCTTCAGTCTTCCCATAACACGCTCAATGTGAATTCTTGCTCTTGCAATTCGTTTACATTCAGATATTTCTGAGGGTGTAAACTGTCTTTTGCTTCGAACGAAGGGTGGCACTTTAACTTTAACTTGCCTGGGAAGAAATATATCCTGAACTGTGAAACCCTTGTCAAACATAGCAATAAACCCAGGATGAAATTTCTGCACAACATTGGAGTCTTCTGTGATAAAACGATCTGAAGCAGAGCCAGAATAGGACCTTGACACAAAACTAATTGATCCTCCTTTTGTACAGAATATTAATTTCTTTTGGGTATTTCTGCTCTTATATGTGCTGTATGTTTGGTACTGAGCCTTGGAATTTGCAGGCTTTTGAATAACTTGTTCAGTGCAATCACCAATGCCTTCAACCTTGTTAAAGTCCCCAGAAAAGTGGGGGTGCTTGAATGCTAGAGTTTCTTCTAGTGTTGGCCAATAAATGAGTGGCTCCAGCTCTCGCGCCAACAACACAAAAAAGGTTGTACATATTTTTGATGCATGGCTAGCAGAAATTTTAAATCGAAAAGCAAGGTCTTCAATTGGAGGGTCCAGACGAATGCGCATCAGGGTTAAAAGAATTTCATCTTCCAGTTTGAGTTGGCGGGATGGTCCAGTCTTTTTTCTTGACAAAGGCTTTGATGGGCTGTGCTGGTAGTTTTTAACCTGGAATGAATTCTTGCCTTTAAAATAAGAGATCTTGCCATGCTTTGATCTGACACGATCCACAATGAACAAAAAAACTTTGGCAGTGCGGCAACCTGTATATAATTTTATGATGGGGTTGTTACCAGAAATAGAATCCCAAGACAATCGATGTGCACGACGTTCTTTGGAAGTGTCCAAGCCACTTTGAGTGATATCAACAGATTCATGAACAGGATGGTTATCAGCATTTTCTCCAGCAATGACTTCTGACACGTGAAAATTATCAATTTCTACACTTTCACTGATGTTAACTCTATTTGTTGTTGCTTCAGGTGTTGCTTCACTGTGTGTCGGATTGAAAAGATCTGAACGATCCAATCGCCTTCTTTTTGGTTGACTAGGCCCATCATACCCCTTCAAAAAAAATGTGGGGTGCGGACAGGAATCTGTTGGCTTTCCGTATTGAAAGTGGTTGGAACATACCTTTGTTGATTTCCCAACTTTCAAAAGAGTTTTTTTGCCAGATGTTTTGTCGATAACCTCCCTGTTGATGAGCTTTGACCACGTACGGAAGAATTTCTCTTTGCATGACCAAAAACGAATGTGCTTGCATCCATCAAATGCTGAAATGTGTTCTTTTATTACATACTTGTCAGGATATCTGCGATCATTATCACAGCCCCAAACAGCACAATGATCAGATTTACCCATAACGTCGAAGTAAAATAAGGAAAGCGAGCAAAATTTGAGTAAACTTTAACAAATCTTGAAGCGAAGCACTTATTTACCTGCGGAGCAAGAAAACTGCAGTGCAGATTGTTTGCCCCCTGGCAATCCCACAATGCATTGCGCTGAAAGATGATGGCTGCAACAGGAAAAAGGTCTATTGATTTAAGTGTTTTGGAAAAGAAAATAGAGATGACACTGCAATTTCCTCAAGTTTTTGCTTCTTTGCTGTTTGGTCAACATCATATTTTGGAAGAATGTGTTCCCTGCAAAGAGTGCTGCTTGAGGTGGGCTGGAAGTCAACACGTCTCGTTGCCGAAACCCATTTTCTGCAAAGCTCTTTGTCATTAAGAGGAAATCGATGGAAAGAGACACGTGAATCTTTAGAAGCACACTTTGTACAACTGTAAGCTGAACAAGACTAAACCATTTTCTGAAATAAAGTTAGAAGAAACGACCCTTATATAAACATGTTTTTGGATCTGTGATAAAAAGTTTGATACACTTGCATTTGTAAAAAAATAATCACAGTCAAGATCAGATTCAAAATATTCTTGATTTATTGCTTCTCCTGCAAGATGAAAAGGTTTGGAATTGGAATCATGATTGGGAATAGTATGGCGTAGGCACTTTTCTGGTACAATAACATAAATTAATAAAATAAAAATGTTTTTTGGCAATGCCATTTTTTGTGTTGATGTCTCTTTAAGGTCATATCAGTTTGAAAAAGCATAAAAAACGACTTCACAATCAAATGGGAATACAATTACAGCAAAATCTTCGCTTTAAACTGCATTTTAAAAATAGTATAATATAATTGCTTTTAATATAATTGCTATATAGTAAAATAGTCTAATTGTTTTTAATATAAGTCAGTCAGGTGTAGTGAAAACATTTTTGCCCTTGATTTGGTGACATTTTCTCTTTGTTCTTTTTGACTTTTCTAATTTGCTCTGTCAAACTCAACTCAAGGAATTTTATTGGCTATAAAACTGTCTAGAATTTTAGGAAATTCTTTTATTTTTCAATCCTGCCATTTGCCTGCTATTGGATTCAATTCAAGTGAATTTCTTTAGAGACTGCATTGCTAAGAAAGCTATTGCTGCTCCTTGATAATCCTCTTAAGATCTATGATGAAATTTTCACACCTTTCTAATATGTGTCAAACTACATTGTCTGCAACTCAAAAAAATTTTTTAAAGATCCTGCAACTACAAAGTGAAAGTGATAATATTTGCAAGGCATATATTTTATTAATTTCACCTCTTTGAATTTTGTAAATAAAGATTTCACAAGCATTTAAAATAGTTCCAAAGACACATGAATTACATCAAAATCATCATTGTGAAGAAAACAAGCTAAAATTCCCAATGAGAGGAATGTTGGTTATTTTGCAATTTATTACTGCTCGGTTAGACCACTGCTCTTTATGGCAACTGATACTGATAACTCTTGTTTAATTGGAAACTTATTGGGAGATGCCTGTCATTCGTTAACCTACAATAGAACAACTGGTCTTAAAACCATTGATATTTCTGCCGACAAATGTCAGAGACTGATATTTTGAAGGTCTGAATTGTGCATATTGAAATGTTGACTACAAGATTCCAAATGAATTTTACTCCTTGCTCTGACCCATTCATAAAACAAAGAAAAGCTGTGAAAGGTGTGTAGAAATATTTCAAATTCATATTCTGTTAAATAGTTTTCATAAAAGATACTGCTGTAAAAAAATTCTTTTAATTAAAATACTGTTAAAATGTCAAAAAAAAAATTTTTAAGAGTCACAAATGTGGTGTGGTTTTTATGAAGATTTTCGTTTGATTGACTGGATCAGGCTAATAATTTTTCTTAATTATAAATTGAAACTAGTTTTCAAAACTAAAGCTTGTATATTTATTTCAGAATGCATTTTTTTATCCTTAAGTGAAATGAGAGAGATTAAGTTTGCACTGGCACAGTACATGGGCAGAATTAGTTTTGTGAAACTGAAAGCAGAAGAAAAGCGGCATTCATCATCAATGGCAGATGACAATGAGTCAATTGAAAAGTGAGAAAAGACACATCTTTTGAAAACGAGAGGAAGTTTTTGCATGAAACGCTGACTACTATTGATGTTTCAAATTATTTGCCATTGTATCACTTATGTGGCCAAGGTGCAATGACATATGTTGGGTGCCAACATCAAACATTTTGAATAAGTAACAACGACCAAAACCATCAACGATGACTGGAAGGCAATACACGTTTTAAACAAAATTATGATTAAAAAAGATTATAGTAGACACTATTGAAAGGATTATAGTCGTTTTTTTCATAATTATGATTTTTTAGGATTTTTTTAAGAAGAGATATTAAAAGACATTAAAAGAACTCCACCCACCACAGGCCCTCTTAGAAACTCTCCCTCTGCCCCACCCCAAACCTTCGTCAACAACCTTGCCAGACATCTGTGCTCGAAAAAATTCCATGAAAACAAGCATGAATATTTCTCCCGGAGTGCAGAGTCTGGCCATTTCCCTACCTTCACCCAACCCTCGTTCACATCAGACTTTACCAGGCCCCTGTCACACCCAAACGCAACCCGGCTGAACGAGGCCATTGCGAACCTCCGCAGAGACATCTGCCACATAACGGCATCCCACCACCTGGACCTGGCCAGAGAGGCCAAAGCCACACAAGTCCGGTCAGCGATGGAAGAGCATTATAATCCGGACATAATCAGAATAGCAAACTGCAATGCCAAGAGACAGGCAGCGTCCGCCCCTGGGAACAAGGAGAGACACACACAGCACCCGCGAAGAGGGCCCGGGAGGCAACACCAGCATTCCACCTTTTGACATTGTTCCCTCTTTCCTCTTCCCCCCCCCCTTTTCTTGCTGTATTTTTGCTGCTTAACTTTAATATAATAAAACATTTTTTTGCTGCTTAATTATGGTATAACAAACATGCTCAGCTGTATATTTTTATTTTAATTCCTTTTCATCAGCCATATCAACCTCGGTCTACCTATAAACGATGTTGCTTTATTCGTACTCATTATTTTGCTATCTAGATTGCAATATGTACACGGCCAATCCTAGCACAGCATCCAAACGCACCATACTCAGGAAAACCATTGGCACCAAGCGAAGAAAACATACCAATAAACTAACTAAAAATGCACATAAAAAGCTGCTCAAAAAGGCCAGCCTGGACACTAAACCAATCAATAACATTGTCAATCTATCCTCAGCTCACATTTCAACACCTGAGATATCTCTGCTGAACAGGGGACTATCGTTTGTCCCTGCCCCCGGTTCGGTTGACAATGATCTCATCTTACAAGGACTCGATGACTTCATACGTCGAACGCGACTGCAATATTTTTTCCACTCCCATCCCCCCAGGATGGTACCTGAACTCTTTAGAAGGAAATCATTTTGGGTCCCCCCTGATGATGTCTGCCCTCAATTACAACAATATTTTGGTAAAATCTCTGTCAACATCAACAAGATCATAAGGTCAGCTGCTAACCCTACACCCCATAACCTCACCCCAATCGAAACTAAGAGCATTAAAACCTTATGCACCTGCAAGGACATAACCATCAAACCCGCGGACAAAGGGGCAGCCATTGTCTTATGGTCTATAGAAGCTTACCTTAAGGAAGCTAACAATCAGCTGTCCAACCCCCTCCACTACATTAAACAAGAATCTGATGGAATACAGCTGCTATCCACCCAGATCACAACATCACAACGTTCTCAACACACCTACTAGGTCGGAATCTTCTCACACAACAATGTTATGACACCCCACCCCCGCACCCCAGAATTCTACCTTTTACCAAAATAAACAAACGAAAGATTAACGACCTCATACCAGGCAGACCAATAATCTCGGGGTGTGGCTCACCCACTGAGAAACTCTCCAAATTTCTGGACCATTTTTTAAAACCAATTGTTAAAACTATACCCTTATGCATCAAGGACACCAATCATTTTCTCCAAATTATATTTAGAGAGAGACATAATTTTCCACCAGGTATCATCCTGTGTACCCTGGATGTTAAATCCCTCTATACTAATATACCACAGGATGAGGGTATTCTACACTGCATGATGGCGTTAATTGATTTTTATGCCACTGGACTACCTCTACCAGCCACACACCTACAACAAATGTTTGAGTTTATATTAAAAGGAAATTATATCTCCTTTAATGGACAGCCATATCTACAGACACATGGCACTGCCATGGGTACCCCTTTTGCCCCAAACTTTGCAAACATTTTTATGTCTGTTATTGAACAAAATATCCTCTCCACAGCCCCCAAGGGGAAGAAACCTCTACTCTGGAAACGATTTATCGATGATATATTCATGATATGGCAATATGATGAAGCTTCCCTCACTGAATTCCTTGCTCATACCAACAATGTGCACAACACGATCAAATTTGAAGCACAACAATCTAGAGCAAAAATAAATTTCCTTGACACCACAATTTATCTTAGTAATAACAGTGGTCTCCTGGAAAGCACCCTATTCGTGAAGCCCACTGATATATGCACCCTTTTACATGCTAAATCTTTCCACCCACCTTCGTGTAAAAAAAGTGTTATTTACAGCCAAGCACTCAGCTTCAGACGTTTGATCACAGACAACAATGAACTCCACAACACCTCAAAACACTTCAAAAAAAACCTAATCATAAGAGGTTATGAATCTCAGGATATCATCACCGAATTTAGTAAATTGACATATGTCACCCAATACGAGCTCCTCTTCCCAGGAAACCCCACCAACAATGAAACCACCCTTCAGCACCTCAACTTCGAGCCCCCTCCACAAAAACCACAAGTCCTACCTTTTGTTGTCCCATTCGACATAAAAACTATAAATATAGGTTCCGTCCTTACTAAACATTGGCACTTGATCTCAGCTGATGCTTATCTTAAACAAATATGGAATGACACCAGACCGGTTCTAGCCCTCACCAGAAGGCCTAACCTCAAGGATCGATTGGTACACTATAAAGTAGGCCATCAACACAAAGCCGCTTCTCAAAGCATCATGCGCCCTTAACTTTCACAATATGTAAATATTACACAAGAGGCACAGTTACACCTAAGGTATGGCATCCACTGATTATTAAATTTTCAAACTAGTGTTCTAACATCATTATGACAACTTGATAAATAGTTGTAGTGTGAAAGTGAAACTATATAAATGAAAGAGCTGGTTTGAAAGTCGCACAGATCGGTTTCCAGTTTTAACACATATTTTGCATGATTAAAACAACTTAATGAGTCATTTAGAAATATTTACAATTGACTGAAAATTTGTCTGTATCCTTTCGCAAAAACATTCCAATCTTGTTAAGCTTATCCTTGCACGTAGATTTTGCAGAGTTTCTGTAAGAGATTTTCATTCTAAATGTATATTTGGGTGAGTGTACATTTATATTCCTTGAAAAAGATTACATTTTGTAGCCTGTTGCCTGACACCTATCTTGTCTTTATGGATGACATTCTTGCTATAATGTTTTTCGTATGGGAGCAGCCTCATGGTTAGATATTTTTCTGTTATCTTTTTTTTTATTTGGGATGAATGGGGGTCTTCTGGATTCAATCCATATCCCATATCGTGCTCCTTCAGCGAAGGGAACATATCTTTCCCAGCCAGATGTTGATTGAGGATATTTATTGACATTTCTTTTATATTTTTTCTTGAGGTAATTTTTTCCTTTTTTAAATCTGTGCCACTTACTGCCACTCTAAATTCTGCAACACAATCATGGACACCCTTGGATGGAAGTATGAGGCCACCCCGATTCTTGACATTTATCATTGAAAGGAAGAACAGCCCAGAGAAATGTGAATAGCTGTGATCATTTTCATTCATATCAATTAGAGAGCTCTTTCATATTCAGGGCAGCTAATTTTGTTCACAATGTTTTTCACTGTAAACCCAGCGATGTATCCAAGAATGAAATCTTAATAGTCAGACATGTGACAAAAATCTAGCTTTTGACAGAGATCATTTACATGGTGCTAATCGTCATCTGTTAGCTCTGCTCTTTCATTTAGGGGTGAAGTTCTCTTATTCTACTTCAATGAGAAGATAGAGCCAGCTGAACCCCTTTCAAACGCAAGGCAGTTGGCATTATTTGAAGCAATGATGGAATTTCTCAGTAAAATTCTTATAAGGCTTGACTTAAATTGTACAATATCTGGGTTGCTTTTAAATCCATTTTTTCCACGAATGCATGCAAACAGAAGCTCAAGATGTATGTTCAAATGTACTTGAATGGATTTTCAGATCATGTGAGAAGAAGTTCAGAAAATTGGCAAATGCTTTTTGCAGTTACCATCATTCCTAGGACAAATACCTTTCTCCTGTGCATTAAAAGACGTTCACCGGTTGAAACTTAAAGTTGCAGAAGATAATTTATTGAATTTTCAATAACTGTTTGACACATTTTCATGCCATGGAGAAAAAGCGGTCTTTTGTAGCGTTCATAAGATCATGTAGACTTCTGGCGTTCAGAAGATCAAAAAGCCTGTCCAGTGTTCTTATGAAATATATTGTACCATCTGCATTTGCAAAATCAGAATGGCCAGCAAACATTATGTATTCTAAAGCATCTGCAACCGAGGAACTTAATGTCTGGGCAGCAACCATAACATTCATCTTATGCCTTTGAAATTCTATGTGATTTTTTGCAAGTTTATTTTGTGCAATGATTTGAAGCATTCTTCTTCTTGTATTTTGTGTAATGATTTAATATAGTCCCACTTAATCTGCCTTCCCTCATATTGAACAAAAACTTTAACATCTGCCAGGGCATTGCGTGCAAGCTTCAGCATATGACACGCATCAGCAACAAAAAACAACTTATGGTCAAAGAAATCACAAGAAAAGGATCCATCCATATCATCCAACTTTGTTCCAAATGAGCAGCCTAAATTTCTCATTGCATCAAAGTTTGTGGCAATGCCATCACATGTGACTGTGTGAATGTTAAGGCAATACAAAGACGATAACTCCAATGCTTTATTAACAAGACAACTTAAATTTGTTGCATTGATTCCATTGTATAAAACATATCCAATTGGACATTTTCAATGGCCTTTCAAACCAACTAGCATGAATATAAGAGCATCTTTGGCAACATCATCTGTATCAAAAGCAAGGATATCTGGACCAAAATCTGCAAAACCTTCATAATTTCCAGTACTCTTGTTATAAATAACACCAGATTTGATATACATAGCATCAAAATATCGAGGCACAGTCTCTATATGAATCATCACCCTTGGCTTTTTCTTGCAAATATTCAAAGACATTTTAGAAGAATCCTGGCTCACAATTTACACTTGATGTCCAATGAGACAATGAACTTGGGCATGGTAATTAAAACAGGTTACGCATATAGTCATAGGCACGTGGGGAGTAAAAGTGAAGGGTAAGAGCAAACTTTTTCATTTCATCAGAATAGCGATGCCCTTTAGAGACACAGCTCTGGTTACTTAGCTTTGACTGAAACAATTCACTTTTCAATCCAAAAAAATTTTGCCTTTAATATTATTATCAGCATCAGAAGCCAATAGCTTTTCTTTTTCAAGATGATCAAACGCAGCTTTCAAGAAATTTATTTCTGACTTTTTGTCTCAAAGTTATGATCCTTCTCCACACTTTTTTCTTTCTTTGGGAAACTTTCTTGAGAGAATCAATTCTTGTTTTCTTTGGAGGGGTTGTTAGCTCTTCATTTATGTCAGCTTTGCGCCTCAAAGATGACTTTCTTTTATGCTTCAATTGATTTAAGTGTTTTGGAAAAGAAAATAGAGATGACACTGCAATTTCCTCAAGTTTTTGCTTCTTTGCTGTTTGGTCAACATCATCTTTTGGAAGAATGTGTTCCCTGCAAAGAGTGCTGCTTGAGGTGGGCTGGAAGTCAACACGTCTCATTGCAGAAACCCATTTTCTGCAAAGCTCTTTGTCATTAAGAGGAAATCGATGGAAAGAGACACGTGAATCTTTAGAAGCACACTTTGTACAACTGTAAGCTGAACAAGACTAAACCATTTTCTGAAATAAAGTTAGAAGAAACGACCCTTATATAAACATGTTTTTGGATCTGTGATAAAAAGTTTGATACACTTGCATTTGTAAAAAAATAATCACAGTCAAGATCAGATTAAAAATATTCTTGACTTATTGCTTCTCCTGCAAGATGAAAAGGTTTGGAATTGGAATCATGATTTGGAATAGTATGGCATAGGCACTTTTCCGGGTGTTACAATAACATAAATTAATAAAATAAAAATGTTTTTTGGCAATGGCATTTTTTTGTGTTGATGTCTCTTTAAGGTCATATCAGTTTGAAAAAGCATAAAAAACGACTTCACAATCAAATGGGAATACAATTACAGCAAAATCTTCGCTTTAAACTGCATTTTAAAAATAGTATAATATAATTGCTTTTAATATAATTGCTATATAGTAAAATAGTCTAATTGTTTTTAATATAAGTCAGTCAGGTGTAGTGAAAACATTTTTGCCCTTGATTTGGTGACATTTTCTCTTTGTTCTTTTTGACTTTTCTAATTTGCTCTTTCAAACTCAACTCAAGGAATTTTATTGGCTATAAAACTGTCTAGAATTTTAGGAAATTCTTTTATTTTTCAATCCTGCCATTTGCCTGCTATTGGATTCAATTCAAGTGAATTTCTTTAGAGACTGCATTGGTAAGAAAGCTATTGCTGCTCCTTGATAATCCTCTTAAGATCTATGATGAAATTTTCACACCTTTCTAATATGTGTCAAACTACATTGTCTGCAACTCAAAAAAATTTTTTAAAGATCCTGCAACTACAAAGTGAAAGTGATAATATTTGCAAGGCATATATTTTAATAATTTCACCTCCTTGAATTTTGTAAATAAAGATTTCAGAAGCATTTAAAATAGTTCCAAAGACACATGAATTACATGAAAACCATCATTGTGAAGAAAACAAGCTAAAAATCCCAATGAGAGGAATGTTGGTTATTTTGCAATTTATTACTGCTCGGTTAGACCACTGCTCTTTATGGCAACTGATACTGATAACTCTTGTTTAATTGGAAACTTATTGGGAGATGCCTGTCATTCGTTAACCTACAATAGAACAACTGGTCTTAAAACCATTGATATTTCTGCCGAAAAATGTCAGAGACTGATATTTTGAAGGTCTGAATTGTGCATATTGAATGTTAACACAAAAATATGCTACCGTCATGAATATATGTTGACTACAAGATTCCAAATGAATTTTACTCCTTGCTCTGACCCATTCATAAAACAAAGAAAAGCTGTGAAAAGTTGTGTAGAAATATTTCAAATTCATATTCAATTTAATAGTTTTCATAAAAGATACTGCTGAAAAAAAACTTTCTTAATTAAAATACTGTTAAAATGTCAAAAAAATATTTTTTAAGAGTCACAAATGTGGTGTAGTTTTTATGAAGATTTTCGTTTGATTGACTGGATCAGGCTAATAATTGTTTCTAAATTATAAATTGAAACTAGTTTTCAAAACTAAAGCTTGTATATTTATTTCAGAATGCATTTTTTATCCTTAGGTGAAATGAGAGAGATTAAGTTTGCACTGGCACAGTACATGGGCAGAATCAGTTTTGTGATTGTTCCTGAAGACAAACTATGTCCCTCTTGTTTAAAGGAAATTAATGACCTGAAACTGAAAGCAGAAGAAAAGCGGCATTCATCAATGGCAGATGACAATGAGTCAATTGAAAAGTTAGAAAAGACACATCTTTTGAAAACGAGAGGAAGATTTTGCATGAAAAGCTGACTACTCTTGATGTTTCACGGATGAAAGTGCATTCTCTGCCAAAATCATCAAAACTAAAGCAAGGAAAGAAACACAGTTGTGACAGAGAAAGGAAGCTGCTTCAAAAAGGTTGCAGCAATACTAAATGTGGAACCAGATGATTTAGAGGAGTCAGATAAAGAGAGAGAGAGCAGATGGGGGAATTTATCCAGAAAGCCAATGCCTTTGACTATCTAGTCAGTCTGAAGAGAGAGAAATTGGAGGTTTTAAGTCGAAGGGAGAAAATCGAAATTCCAACACTGATTCCTAATTCTTGGTCGTAGGCTTCAAATGTATTTCAAGTACCTGTTTGCATGGTCAGAAAGGAAAGACAAAAAAGAGAAGAGGAATAAATGCTGTTTAATCTTTATATTGCAGTGATGGAAACAGCAGGCAGCTTCCAGGAAAGAAAATTTTGTGAGCCTTGGACAAAAAAGACGTGCAAAAGCGACTTCTTTTATGCAACACAAAAGAGCTATATTCTCTGTTCAAGGCTAATAATCAAGGCTTCCTGCATTGGGTTTTCAAAGTTTCCAAGCTTGAGGCCCAAATGGTGCATCCCAGTTGGTCCGTAGGGGACATATTCTGTGTCTGTACTTTTCATCAAAATCTGAAGCTTCTTCTTGATGCTGCAAATTTAGGACACCAGTATCATGACCTGATTTATATGGGTTATATATGGAACCAGAAGCATTGCACATTACATCCAGTAGTCATTTACCACAAAGGCATTGATGGGGTCATTGGATCAACATCACTATGATTTCTATCGGATGACCTGGAACATGATGTGCATCTTGTCTATACTGGAACATGATGCCACAAAGGCACTGCACATCATATCAGGGAAATGATATCCACGGACATAAAGGTTGTCCATTACTTTTCTGATGGTTGTGCAGGCCAGTAAATTAAATGCAAGAATTTTTTAAGCTTGTGCCACCATAAGGAAGACTTTGCAATGAATTGTGAGTGGAATTTCTTCACCATCAGCCGTGAGAAATCCCCATGTGATGGGATTGGAGGTACGGTTAAGCTATTCAAGTCATCCTGCAACAACTAATCACCAAGCAAATAATTTTTGTTGAGGCACTATTTGAATTTTGTAGAACAGAAGTCAAAGGTATCAACTTCTATTGCATTACAAAGGAGGACAACAACTTGACAAAAAAATCTCGAGAAACGCCTAACAGCTGCAAAAACGATCCCAGGAACTAGGGGGCTCTATCAATTTGTACCGCAATGCAAAACATTGATTGGAGGCAAAACATCGATTGGAGGCAAAACATCGATTGGAGGCAAAACAATATCAGATATACCTGAGTTTGATGTTAAGTCTGATTCAGATCTAGCTGTTGCTGAACCTGTTGATGATATTGAAATCAGGGATTATTTTGTGTGCAGGTATGATACAGATTGCTGGGTTGGAGTGACTATTGAAGTCAGTAGTGAAAACAAAGATGTTGCTTTAAAATTTTTGCATCCACATTTGCCATTGTATCATTTATGTGGCCAAGGTGTGATGACATATGTTGGGTGCTAACATCAAACATTTTGAATAAGTAACAACCACCAAAACCATCAACGATGACTGGACTATGCTTAAAAATTTTAAACACAATACACGTTTTAAACAAAATTATGCTTCAAAAAGATTATAGTAGACATTATTGAAAGGATTATAGTCGTTTTTTTCATAATTACGATTTTTTAGGATTTTTTTAAGAAGAAATATTAAAAGGCATTTCAAGGCTTTTACTTTTACTTCTGATGAGTTACATTTTTTCTTTCAAACAGGGCCCTTATTGATAATATTCTTATTGATAATACTCTTAGTATTGACAAGGTTTTACCCTGTATAAATATTCCTCTTATTATTAAAAGCATCTTTGAGATTTTAATAGCACTTGTCGACAGCACGACAGTTTAGACAACACGTTATGGACGCAGCGAATTCAATTAGATGCGCTCAAAAAGCACCCGTAGAGCGCTTCAATTTGGTGTTTGGTTTTAGACAGCGAAACGAATTGAATTGAATTTAGACAGCAAAAGCGTATCTTTAGTGGCAAATTTGTCGTGGAAAATGGACCCCCATAGCAAATGATACGATTCTTGATTAATCATTTGAATATCGTCGAAAAGAGGTATTCCACGCAAGAAAGCGCAACAAAGACTGTATTGGAGACACTGAAAGCATGGAGGCGAACAAGTAAGACTCTCTTTTCAGCATGTGTTGATGCCCTGTTTCCAAAACAGGGAATAAATAGACCAATGATCATTAGTAATCATGCAAGTGTCTCCCGAGAGTTCAACGTTTGTGGAGCATTGAACCTCTTTGATAATTCCATCCTCTGATAGATTTCCAAATTTTAGAGCTTTATGTTTGTGAAAACAAGCTTTCTCCTGTAGCTTTTATTTTCGCATATTGTTATACCAACAACTTTGTTTACAATGTGTTCCAGCCAATTGCTTGCGCCCTCTTTTTCCTTCCCTTTTATTGAGCAAATTCTTGCCAATCTTGTCTTGTGCTTCCTTGGTCTTCCTCTTCTTCAAACTCAGCATATTCAGCTTCGTCAGTGTTTTGCTTCCTTGGCAAGTTTTCAGGGCTGCCTGTTTTTTCAGGCATTCGGCAACGAAACAATGCTTTATCGCCAACAGACAAGGCAAAAAAATGACATCCAGGACATTGACTTAAGCAAAAGAGATACCATCCTGAACGAAAGCGAAAGAATTGCAAAAGAGTCCATCAATCGATTTCCTTTGTGCAACATAATGTATGCCCAAGACCAAATGTAATGATATGCGAAGTCTATTAAAATCTGCAAGTTATTCGGTTTAAAAGCTATAACTGCCAAAAAATATTAGAAAACTGAATGTAAGAAAAACAACAAAATGAGCTTCAATAATATTATCATCCTGTATAGCTTTGTTGGTCGTAACTGTTGAAACTAAAATGCTAGAGCAACACAATAAGCATGTCACGTGCTGTCACTGCAAAGCATGATTGAGTTTGCCAAGGCAAAGTCAAGCAGTATTACAAAATAATTTGAAAATCCCTTTTCGGTTAATTTGGTAATGATA